ATGCATGTCCTTCACCTTCCCAGTATTGAACATGAAGGAGTGAAACTGATCCAGATAATACAAGAAGGAAAAAGATTTATGCTGACCCTTTTCTGTTTCTTGGAAAGTTTCAGACAGTTTGTAAAAATGTTTGCTTGGTTGATTTTTGTGAGGAAAATCCACCATTTTTCTATCATTCTATGGAGCTGTACGGCAACAGCCGTGCTCCTTCAGCTGATGGTCTCTGCTCCTTATCACCTGGATCTTACAAAATATAACCTTTTAACCTGAGGGTTTCTCTTCCCTTTTACCCCACTCCTCCAATTGTTGCTCAACCACTGTAGCTTTTAACATTCAGAGCTTTAAAACTTGAGTTTTTTTCCTCTGCTATCTGTGGAAGCCTCCGGGATCACTGGAAAATATTATCAGGCCGGGTTGTACTCCATACGTCTGTGACTCTGCTGTACAAATATGGACTCTGGCAGACAATTTGGGATTCGGTGCCAAATCTTACTATAGGAATTCAGAATTTTTAGTGCAAAATGGTTACTGCAGAAGTCTTCCAGATGTCTTTAAAGATGGACATTTTCCTCCTTCCTCACCCACAAATTGTTTGCCTCCATCAGGCTGGGGAAAGTGCTGAAGCTTGGGGATCAAAGACTGCCCATTAAGCATTAATTTTGCAAAAGAAAAGGGCCCTCCTTTGCTGAGTTTTTGCAATCTGCTCTCCCAGTTAGGCTGTTTATGGCCAACAGGACACAACTGTAATCTAGTTAATCACATTTTAGCTAAGCACGTGGGGTAAACCCAGCCTGTGTTTATGACTCTGAGTATTGTACAATTCACAGAAAATAGGCTAGGTAAACCAAGGGTCACTTAACCATGAGCAATCATATGGTGTGAACAAAGCCCCGAATTCTGAGCTTTGCATAACAAGCTAAGCAAAGGCATGGTTAGGCATAATGACACACCTGAACTGCAAAGTCTCTCTTCCTTTACGAACATGCATTCTTCATCTTCCTTGTCTGTGAACATCAAGGAGTAATATCCACCCAGTTATTCAAGAAGGAAATTGATTAGTGCTTACTTTCTTGTTTCTTGGAAATCCAATTAGTTTGCGAGTAGTTTGCTCACAAATATGCTTGGCTGATTATTATGAGCCTGTATCAATTGGAGTTACAGTACGAGCAGGGTGAAACAGAAGGGAACAACATTGCAAAGACAAAAGTATGACAAATATGTAAGGAGTAGCCCAATTTTTCAGACTAGCACATTTGCAACTTGGAGAGCCTTCGTTTTGTGACCGCAACTGGGTCCGGCAACCTGGACATTAAGCGAAGCAGTCGCTAAGTAAAAAATCATGGGACCGCAACTGTGCTTACGATTTTATTTCAGCTTTCCTTTGCTTTACAGCATCAGGAGGCTATGACCCCAAACAGCCAGTGAGCCCTTTGGTAGGGAAGGCTTCCAGAAGTTGACTCACAAGGAAGCTGGATAAAAGGGCAAATCTTATAGCCCTTTTTCTCCATTCTCCTGCCTTTTGGAATGCTCATCTTGGCACTGGGATAATTAGCAAGAAGAGAATAGATGTTTCTACAGGTAGTCCCTGGATTAAGAACACCCGGGTTAAGAACACAGCCTACTGTAGCAAAATCTGAGTTAAATATACAATTCAAGTTTAATACACAATGGTTTGAGTTCATTACACAACACTACTTATACAGTATTGTACAATAATACTATTCCAGCTTACATACAAATTTGACTAAAGGACAGACCTGTACTTACATTCATTGGGGAGGAAGGGATTATAAGAGAGTAAGCAGGCACACAATGGGAAATACACATAGCACTCCCTGTTTGCCTAGGGTCTGGTGGTTGTAGCCACCTGCTGCTTAGGAGGCAAGCAAAAGCTTTCAGTGTGAAACTGATTAAGGTCTGGTCAGTTTCAGGCAGCAGCTGGTTCTAATTAACTAATTAAGGTCACAGAGCTGATCTTATTAACTTGTGAGCACCTTTTGGGGAATTGCTGTGTTGAAAAGCAGCTCAGGAAGAGATTGGTTGTTTAGGCAATCTCTCCCCTCTGTGAGGGTGGGAAGAAAAAATCCCGTCAGGCACAAGACAACACATACTAACCAAGAGAGACAAAGGTCATAAATGTGGGTATTGGTTGCAAAGTTACTTTTTCATCCCGGTTGTAACAGAATGGTCGCTGTCCAAGGCAGTCACTAAAAGAGGACTATCTGTAGTCCCAAAAGATACTTTTCAACCACCTCAGGGGGACTTTTGTGTGGCTCCAAACCATTCCAGCAAATAAATGCAATGTTACAGGCTGTTGATTAGCTTTCCAGCATATCAGCTTTTGTTCAGTTTTTTGTAATTAAAAAATTGCCCAGGAGGAAAATAGTTCTCAAGGGCATCGCATTGCCCATCCTACTGTCAAACAAACAAAAACACACAAAAAGCAGTATCATCTACATTTTTAGTCCAGCATCCATTTATCCTCAGGGGCAGGCTTTGCAAACATTCTGATTCTTTGTCCTAAAACAAATAATCAAGTGTTAGCCAGGCAAAATAACCCAAAACGCTGGGAAAAAATCAGTTAAAAATATACTGAAAATACAAGCTGCCTCTTCCTCTCAAGGTTGGATATGTATACAGTAGTAGCAAAGAATTAAACATCTCAAAATATTGTTCACTGGACGTAGACAATCTTCATACTGAAGTGTAGTTCAATATATTTACAATAGGGGAGGGAGGGGGCAAAGAAGTCAAGGCATAAACTCAGAAGGGGAGTTTCTGACCTATTATGTTAGCTATCTGTGAAATTACGTGACTAAAATTTCAGTCTCCCTTGAGTTGAGGGAGGACAATCCATGTTGTTTTCTTAGCAGCACTTTGGAAAGCGTCGTGATGGTCTTCTGGCATGATACTTCACCTTCCAATTGAGCTACAGCTGGGATTTCCTGATGGTGTCCCATCCAAGCCCTTCACAAGCTTAAAAAAATTAGCTTTTGTGAGATCAGACAATGTTGGCTTTGGAGCTGACACTTCTCTTTTGGCAGGATTGGCTAGATGATCTTTAAGACCCCTTCTGGTTTATGATTCTATAGGTTCGCCTCCAGTGCTCTAGCCAGTATGGTGTATTTGCATGAGTTTTTCTTTTTCGAATGATTGTAGTCAGGAAGGAAAGTTGAATTCTTCCTTACAATATCTGGAAGGCACGGGGTTATCTCTCTCAAGCATATTCTGTGCTAATAGATTAGCTCACCCATCCTTTGCTCGATGGGTAAGCTAATATGTAGACGCGGGTTCTTTATATTTCTTGGTTTAATGCAACAAACCAAGCTAATTAAATGCTCGATTGAGTAAACTGATTGCAATCATGTGTTCTCTAGCTACCCAGTCTGAATCCAAGATTTCTAAATGTCACCATCGTACGCCTTTTGATCTTCCTAATGGAAGATTAAGTGCTTAACCCCTTCCCGCTGGCACTGACGATGCAGAGAAAATTGATTTTGAAATGAATAATAGTCTTCCTTTTCCACTTTCCCAGATGCTTCATACAAGATTGCTGGCAGTACCTGCCTCATTCATGTAATGGGCTCCCCTGGACTCAAAGAATGTTGCTTTCAATGGTTTAGAAGAAGTTGAAAAAAATAACCATTGGGTCATCTCTGAGGAGGACCAGAGAAGAAGCAATGGTTCGTTGCACTGGAGATCCGTCTGGCAGAAAACCTTTAAAATGGCCGAGGAAGCAGATCCAGAGATGAAGCAATAAATTCTTAAATATGTAGCTCTGCAAGTATCAGACTTGAGGAACTGAATCCTTCTGAAGTTCTTCCAGACCAGTCTTTCTCCACCATGGCAACTTTAAGATGTGTGGAGTTCAACTCCCAGAATTCCCCAGCTGGGGAATTCTGGGAGTTGAAGTCCACACATCTTAAAG